CCCCACACATTTTGGGTGCAATATGTATTGTATTATGCATTATGCTCTGACACATTTCAGGATGCAACAATACACAAAATTGATTATGCAAATTGAATTAGTGCAATTTTATAAACACAAAACTCTCGCTGTCTTCAAGCGTGCTGCTTTCCACAGCTCTGCATCCACATCACCATTAATTTTCCTCATTTGTGTTTTCACACCAGTCTTGTTTTGCTGGGCACCACTGTTTATTTGTTGTTTTTGAATCACTCGTCCTGTTGTTCATAGCAATCGTTGTGTAGTGAGGTCTTGAATGTTTTCAATGTGACATTTTTGAGATCTGTTCAGCTGAGGTGTATTCTGTCTGCATGATCTGTCTTGTTTTCGTTCTTTTGACTGGGCACCGTTACAGCGAGTGTTAATCACGTCATTAACTCTTTTAAAGAGGTACTTGCACGGCCTTGCTACAGAGCATGAGACATTAGCTCATTCCCCAGCCATGTCACATACTAAAATAGCCACCTCAGTCTGATGTCTTTAAAAGCTCAGTGTGTATCACGATAGTCACTCAAAGGCTCTTGGTCTGGAAGTTGGTCTCTTTCATAAGATTGTCAAATGCTGACGCCTTGAAGATGGAAGTGGTACACACTGATCTGTATTATAAGGGCTAAGGACCAAAAACATACTTTGTGCAAGTACGCAAATGCAGATGTGAATGCTTGGCCAATGCATTGCAAGTGCACCATCATATTGAACATGATTTGCTCAAACGGTAACAAACCTCAGTACTCAAGGGGGTGATAGAGTTACCTTCAATTGTCTGTGCCATTAAACCAGATGTGTGTTGGATTATTCAAGTGGTTTGCTAAAAACATATCAAGACCACTATATACAGTAGCACCCCTTGCAGCATTGCATAATGCATTATGAATTGCAGTCTGACACATTTTGGAAATAGGGCTGTTTAATTTAATACAGTTCATTAACCAGCCAATATTAACACATTTAATCATGCTCTCTGACTCGTAACAGCATATTAAAATGATTTTTTTATATGCTAATTCCATATGTGATCTGTCCAATGGAATTTTTTAACTCAACTGGCAAATGGATAAAGAAAAGCAATTTGTAAAAAAAAAATATTTAGGTTTTTAATGCTTTGTTTCAATTTAAATGTTTTATTGTTCAATTTAATATTTAAAAAAAAAATATTTCAGTTTAATTGACTATTTTAAAAAGTTATTTATTTAATTTTTAAAATAAAAACATTGATTTGATTCCTTTATTTATTTATATTTAAGTGGCTCTCCTAGTCCTTCATAATGAAAAAGGCAGAACAGAACGAGTCGGTTATGCGGAATGCGTTCTTGCATTCAAAAACAGCTTGATGGAGCGTAACAAAATTAATTCTGTTATTTTTTTAATTGATTGACAACCCTGTTCCGATTTCAGCAATACATGAAATTAAGCTTGCCAAGCTACAAGCATTTGCCTTGATGTACTTGCTTAAAGTATGTTTTAAGTTGATATCACTGAATTGTATCTTTCTGTGTTCTGTGTCGCTTTAGGTCGATCTCCTCCAGGACTGGCTAAAACACCACTGTCCTTCCTGGGCTTGAAGCCCCACAACCCTGCTGAGATACTGCTCAACCAGACAGGCTCAGGTGAGGCTTTGCACGCATATACAGTGAAATGCACATTAAGACACACGTGGTCTTTTGGCTTTGGTCTGAGCCACTCCATGCTGTGCTCCATATAGGGAGCTCAAATACATCTTGTGTGGGCCATATATCAAAATAACCTTTAATTTCTCCCTCTCAATTGTTTCCCTTTCTCAGAGCCACTCCATGCTGTGCTCCATATAGGGAGCTCAAATACATCTTGTGGGCCATATATCAAAATAACCTTTAATTTCTCCCTCTCAAGTGTTTCCCTTTCTCCTTTTCTACTCTCTTGAGCAGTGAGCTCATATGTATTTTTAAATGGATTGGTGTTTTCTTTTCATATGCAGTTATATTGGGATCATTTTACTGTGGTCTTTTAATGTGTGTGTGTAACTGTGGGAGAGAGTGAAAGGTTTTGTTCCAAAACCCAGTGAGCTGCCTAACTAGGTAGCATTTATGTGAACATTGACACAGAAGGTCACGTTATTATGCAGCTTTCTAAGATAGCACAGTGGCCAAATTCTAAAGCATTAGTTTCAGATTGGGAATATTTTGTAATTTTCTTTTTTGGGAACAAATATATTACTTTTGATATTTTTACAATTTAAAATAACTTTTTTTTTTTTTTTTATATATATTTTAAACTGTAGTTTATTCCTGTGATGCAAAGCTGAATTTTCAGCATCATTACTCCAGTCTTCAGTGTCACATGATTCTTCAGAAATCATTCTAATATGCTGATTTGCTGCTCAAGAAACTTTCTTTTTGTTATTAATGTAGAAAACAGTTGTGTTTTTTTTTGTGGAAACTGTGATACATTTTTTAACAATTTGCGATATACATATCTTTGCTGTCACTTTTGATCAATTTATTGTGTCCTTGCTGAATTAAAAAACAAAACAAAAAAATCTATCTGACCTTTTTTTTTTTTTTTTCAACAGCAGCATATTCCATACAGAAAAGCCAATCCAACAAATTTCTAGTGGAAAATGTCAATTTAAGATGGCTCAGTTTAGTTTAATATAATTAAAAATTGACTATTTTATATATTTGTATTCTTATTAGAGTGTCATGTTATCTTAACACCATGCTAATACAAACTCAATTAAAATATTATATTCAGTGTTGCTACACATGTAGAGCACTCCAAATCGGTCACTTATGAGGATGTTGTCTTAGAAAGTAGCTCCCTATGTAGGCAGTAGACAAGACAGCTCACTAGTTTTTGTAACAGAGATGTTTTTTAAGCTGATTTATTACCCGTTCTCTTTGTCCCAAGGATTTATTTAATGCTTGATGATATGATGATTTTTAAACTTGATATTAGCAAATTTTCTTTTAATGCAAGCAGCATTTTACAATGTCTTCAAGGGTGAACCACATGAAAACAAGTCCACATTACTTTTCCTTTATCATTTCTTATTTCTTTCTTCGATTTTCGGGGTGATATATGACCTGGTCTTGTCTCAGCAGGTTTGGTGAAATTCACCCTCAGAGGCCAGTGGGTGTAAACTATCTCTTTAGTTTGGAACAAGTTCTCATGCACGGCTGATTTTAGCGTTGCTCCGCAGGGAGTTAATTTGAGGCCTGCCAAAACACAAGAGCCATACATACAGTACACACACTAACATGATTACGAGATGATGTGTCACAGGGGCCTCATTGTCTTACTATAGTTAGCTTAAATGAAGTCATGTGCTTTTTGAAGATAAGGGATGTAACTTTGGGTATTTTAATCTGCACTGGGGCCTGCTGGTATTTGGAGCAACAAAAATGCGAATGAAGATTACATTGTGTTTCCTTTGTTTGTGTTTCCCTTTTTTGCTCTCTTAAAAGTAATAATTCACGCAAATGTGCAAATGCTCTCTTTGTTTTTGCACACTTGTGTCATTACAATTAATTTTCACTTCAGTAAAATACAAAAGGAGACAACGCGCAAGTCATATAGACCACTTTTACATTTTTTAAGGGTGCTTTTTTCCTTTTTTATAAATAACCTTCCACTTTCCTTGTATGGAAAACAAACAGGATGTGTTTTTGTGATTATGGAAGAAAATAATATTGGTTTAAGAATGAATAAAGCTGTTATCGTTACTTGTTTTTTCATGCTTATGTTGGCAATTATCCCTTCTTCTCCCCGTCTCTTTGAACTTCTACAATTTCTGTTTTATGATTTTGTTCTTCTGCTGTTTGGAAAACAGAGAGTGAGGATGAGGAAGGTTAGAATGTACAAGATTTAGAATTACAATGTTACGTCCAAACCACGTCATCTTCTGGTTGATTTTTATCATCTTACACATCACGGTCGTCTCCATTCTCATTTTCAACTCATTTTATCCTATTCACTTGTGACCTTAATGATGTTTCTACAAGATTCAGGGTCAGATGTAAAACAGTATTTATATATTATCTTAGTTTTGACTTTTGTTTTGACTCTTCTAAACTCTTGTGCTCACAGGTATTTCTCTCTTTGTTTCTTTTATTCAGAGCCTTGTAGCTATGTGGAGTCTGTGGCCAAAGCAGCTGCAGGTGGGCCGCCAGTGTCGCCTGTGTCTCCAACATATGACAGCAACAGCTTAGCACATCCTGTCGGGCCGTCCCATGCCTACAACGCTCCTCTTTCCTCCAGCAGCCCCATTCAGAGCCCAGATGCAGTGTAAGTGGCCACTACCCTCATGTTTCATACAGTTTTATTTGAGTATTATTTATATACTATTATAGTATAGTAATATTATATATGTTATATATTTTGAATTAACTTTTATTTTTATATATTCAGTTTTCTTTTTAATTTTAGTTAAAATTTTAGTTTTTATTTTTATTTTGTGTTTCTTTTGTCATTTTGGTTTTATTGAACTTTATTTTTATATCAGTTTTAATTTTAGTAATTTTATGACTTTAACTTGTATTTATGTATTATTCTAGTTAGTTGTCAAAGCAATATCTTTAATTTTAGTTTAATTTAATATTTATTTTATTTTATTTTATTATTTTATTTACTTTCGAAAGCATTTTTTAATAGTTTCACACACTGGTTTCCTACCGGAATATCCAGATTTTGAGTAGCACCATAAATTTGGTCCTCTTTGCAACTTATTTTGGTGAAGATCAGCCTACATAGGAAGAGATTGCTTTATCAACGTGTAAAATTATCAACCGTTTCGTTTTGGTTTTCTAAGGCATTTTTATAAATCCATGTTACAATAATAGATTGTCACAGAAAAAAAAAGAATAAATAATAACCAAACAATAATTTAATGAACGAATGATGTAAATGCTAATAGGTTTTCGTTATCCACATTAAGCTACATGTAGTTAAATGCAACCTCTGTTAAAAATTTGCATTTTTATGGGTATGTGAGATCAAATCTTTTTGATCACACTATAAATGCATCAGAATGCAAAATGCAATCTGGCTAAAAAGTGTACTGTCCGTATACTAATCCGTGTACTGTCTGTTTACAAATGTTTGTTAATGTCAGACATAAAGCAGCCCATATTAACTTATCTTTCATAATCCTTCTCGTTCTCTTGTTTTGTCCTCTTTCAGTGAAAGCACATTGACTGATAGCGGGGTTGGGTTGAATTCTCTGTCCCAGGCTGCTGTCGACTCTGTCCTTCACTCCCAGCCCTCTGAAAGCACATACCAAACACCCACACCCTCTTACCCCACCTCCAGCAGCATGTTGGGTGGCTACATCACCCCTGATATCAGGCCCACTCTGCCAGAGACCGTGCAAAATAACGCCACCACCATCCAGTCACTCGCCGGAAGCCCTGGCACAAGACACCAAGCCATCCTGCCCGACGTGATGTCCGCTCCCGGTCTCCAGCCCAGACTACCTAATCAGGACATCCTCGTTCTGGGCCGACAACCGACCCCGACCAATGGTCATCTGCCTGGAATGGCCGGTAGTCCCGTGCTAGGAAGACACGCAATGATGTCCCAAGGAACGCAGAGCAGTCCGATGTTGTCTAGACAGTATCCCGTCACCTACGGGACTCAGAGTAGTCCGATTCTCAGCAGACAACCTATGGGACAAGCCATCCAGAGCAGCCCTGTCCTCAACCGACAGGCGTCCCTAAATCAACTAATCATTCTGCCTAACCAAAGCAGCCCGGTGTTGAGTAGACAGCCGTCCATTACCCAACCCAACCAGGGCAGCCCCGTCCTGAGCAGGCAATCCTCACTTACACATCCCAATCAGGGCAGCCCCGTTCTGGGATGCCACCCGTCCCTAACGCAGGGTAGCCCCAGTCTGGACAGGCACCCGATGTACAGTGGCTACACCACTCCAGAAGAGCGGCACGGAGCCCTTTTGCGCCAGAGCAGCTCCTCTGGATACCAGCCGCCATCTACACCTTCTTTCCCAGTCTCCCCGGCTGGATACATAGATGGAGTGGGATTCAGACAGGGCAGTCCTGCCCCCCAACCTCAGCTCCCCGAAAAGAGAAGCATGTCCAGCAGCGATCGTTCCAATGGCGGACTGTCCTACGGAACGCTCAATGGGAAGATGTCCTCCCCAGTTTCCAGTGGCGGCAGCACTCCAAGCGTTCATTTCTTCGACACACTCCCTGATTTCTCCAAACTCAACATGTGTGGTAAGACTTTATTAAAATAAATTCCAGTAGGTATCATTGGAATCAGAAAGCCTTCAAATTCAAATACAGTTAATTCTGAATTAGAATTGGAAACAGGTTGCAGCACTGTGATTTGTACAGCATTGTGGTTTTAACTGTTGTTATCACGATCAAAATGTATGCTACTCTGGAAGACCAATGGTTAATTTGAATAAAACTCAAACAATTTTTACATACATTTAAAAACATAAATTTACATCTGCATCCTAACTCAAGCTACTACTACTGTCAACTCAAGCTACTGTCAAATGTGCATTTCTAAGAGACAAAAACATGTAATATTATTAATATTGCAGCCCACACTGCAAACTGTGCTGAAGATGTGCGTCATCAAAGTCATTATTTAAACAATGTCACTCACTAGAAAATGCAGAAACTAAGAAATTAATTTTTCTATTAAAGGGGTCCTATTATGCTCTTTTACAAAGTCTTGATTTTGTTTTGGGGGTGTACTAGAACAGGCTCTCATACTAGGTTGTTCGAAAAACACATTATTTTTCACATATTTTACATTATTACAACACCTCTCTCTCAGTCTGGCATGAACGGCTCGAATAGTTCCTGTATCAAATGAAGGCCCGCCTTCTGAAATACGAAATATCACAAATCCTGGAAAATATGCGTTTTTGTAGTCCAAACGAGTCGTTCATTGTAGTTTTTGAAAATTGATTTCTGTTAAATAAAATATCTCCTTTTGAAGTGGACTTTGAGCTTTGTAACTTTGCAGATCTTTTTTATGCTCAAACAGCAAAATTACAGACTAACTAAAGTTGAAAAAGTGAAAAAGCATAATAGGACCCCCTTTAAGATATTTAGAATGTTAAGGAAAAATGACTGGAAAAGTGTAAAGAATTCAAAAACTTGAAGTGTTTGTCATGTTCTCACCATAAAGAGTAGTTTAAAACCACAAGCAATGATCTGCTTTCTACAACTTTTACTTAGGAGCAAAAATCTATATTTAAACTTGAAAGAAATAAAGATTTGAAATTTATCGCGATAATTATCGATATCAACTGATAATGAAAACATTTATCGTGATAATTTTTTGGCCATGTTGCCCAGCCCTATTTCTACATATATTTACATTGTTAAATAATAGCCTATACTCACATGGTATTTGGAGTGCTCCACTTTTTTTTTTTTTATATTCATATAAATAATTTATTGATTACTTGATTGTTGTTTTTATTGACAGACAACAATGAAGTCAATGTGCATAAATGTGACCCTGGACCACAAAACCAGACTTAAGTCGCTTGGGAATATTTTTAACAATAGCCAAAAAAAACATTGTATTGGTCAAAATTATCGATTTTAATTTTATGCAAAAAAATCATTAGGATATTAAGTAAAGATCCATGTTCCATGAAGATTAAATTTCCTACCGTAAATATATCAAAACTTAATTTTTGATTAGTAATATGCATTGCTAAGAACTTCATTTGGACAACTTTAAAGGCAATTTTCTCAGTATTTTGATTTTTTTGCACCTTCAGATTCCAGATTTTCAAATAGTTGTATCTCGGCCAAATATTGTCCTATCATAACAAACCATACATCAATGGAAAGCTTATTTATTCAGCTATTATGCATAAATCAAGGAATTGACCCTTATGACTGGTTTTGTGGTCCAGGGTCACAAATACAGCATTGTATATATATAAAAAATAATAATAATTATAATAAAAGTGAGCACCCACTTTTATTATTATTATTATTTATTTTTTTTTACATGTCATGGACTGTATCTTCTTGAATGTCTTCTAGGATTGCACTGAAATTAAGCATATTAATGAAAATTTGTGTCCTTGACACTTTTAGCTTGTATTAACCATATTCTCAGAGCAGTAAGACATTTGAAGCTATGTTGTATTATGGATATATACTCTGCTGCATGTCTAACAAAACCTGTGACTATATTCACATAAATTCAGTCATATTTATTTTAATAAATGACATTGCAGACAGTCTCTGGTTTGGTTCCAGAAACTAAGTGCTATGTTATCTGTGTTTCTGGAATGTGAGAAATGTGTGCTTATTGTAGGTGTTGCTGTCGATAATTAAATAAGATACTGATGATCTTGAGGGTAATTTTAGACAGGTGTGTGTGTGTAAGTGTAGTTTTGAAAGAATAGTGCATTCATTAGCTAAGGCATATTAAACTAATCCCACATTACATCTGCTTAATAAAGTGCACATTTCATTTCCCAGATGGAAGTCCAGAGACCAGGCTGCACGTGAAGTTTGTCCAGGACACGTCCAAGTTCTGGTATAAACCAGATATCTCCAGAGACCAAGGTAAGGATGCAGTATATGTGTGTTCCAGGGTTAATTTATCTATATTCAAACCACCGAATGGAGGCTCATATCTCCTATAAACAGTAAAATGTGTCTCTCGCCACCCTATATGAGGTCAATCGCTGTTTGTCTCCACATCTGGTTCTCCTCTGTGCTCTTATTGGATTAGATCACCTGCGCTGGAGTCCTCTTTAAACGCAAGCACATGCAGTGAAATCACACGTCACTCAACAAGTGTGCTCAGTTAAATCCAGTGAACATCTGCATCTGTTGCTTCATTAACTTGTCTTAACGATAACGAATAAACCTCCTTAGCAATATTTTTTTTTCCTTCACTCACTCCCTATCTCTCTGTGTGTAAAACTGTGGGGTACATTACAGCAATTTATTAACATATTATAGCCTTCACCTTCACATCTGGTGAATAATGATGAGAAAATGTCACATGGTGAAAAATACATTTACATTTATTCATATAGCAGACGTTTTTATCCAAAGCGACTTACATAAAGTAATAAAACAATAATAATAAAAAAATATGGCGAATAACAATAAAAGAAAATGTAATAATATAAAAATGACACACACACAAAACTTATGTATATTTAAACAACTGGTGAATATTATATTATATTATATTATAGAATATATATTTAAACAAACTTCATCTTGTAAATGCTTACATGTGCAGTTTGACAGCCTCCGTCAGTGTTTATGGAATAACATTATTAATATTGCATGATTACCAATATGAAATGCTATAATAAAGGCACATATGCCTCTTGGACATTATTGACAAGCATTATTTGTATCCATTATTTATTATTTACTGAGTTCATGTCAATTTTGACTGACAAAAAGGGGAAAATATTTTATATTTTTAAATATTTTAATATAATATAATAATGGATATAATACTAGACATTTATGACTACTCTTTAAAATTACTCTTGATTATTTAAATATTTATATGAATAATATGAATATATGTATATATGTATTATTTAAGAATAATATATAAACGTTATATTTATATTGTAAATTATTGAAAGAGTGCATATTTTGTTTTGTTAAAGTTAAATGTCCAGTGTTATAGATAGAATCCTTATATATATATATTTGTTATGGTTAATAGTAGTACTTTTGGTGGCACAATAAACAGAACCTGGGATGTCATACATTTTGGATTCATATAGCTTGTCATTGATTATATTTATTTGAATTTTATAAAACTGAAGCTGCCATTATGTTACCAAATAAACTGCCTTTGTGATTTTCTCCTCCTCACTGTAGCGATCAACATGCTGAAAGATCAAGAGCCTGGAGCCTTTGTCATTCGGGACAGTCATTCATTCAGAGGGGCCTACGGCTTGGCCATGAAAGTTGCCTCACCACCTCCGACCCTGCAACCTACAAAGAAAGGTATTTCATGTGCCTCCTCCACGCATGCGGCTAATGCAGATAATCATTTGCCAGATGTATTCCAGACAGGAGATCTGGATCATAATCCTGTTGTGTTCGCAGCAGACAAACACATTCACACACCCAACAACATACACTGAAACACATGTAATGTTTCATGATGAAAACCAAAGACCAAAAAGTGGTTTCCCTGCACTACCTGTCAGAAGATTTAAATACCCTACTTATTCTTTTTACTCTTAATATTATTGCATAGAGCTCTGAAAACATGGATTCTGATCGGTCAGTCGTGGCATTCTGTGGTCACATGTTTTTGTATAATGACACTAAACAGTATAATTGACCACTGTACCAGACAATAATTTAAACAATTCAAAATGTATTTATTTATTTGTGTAGATTTAGTGTATGTCCATTTAATAAATGAATGAATACATATATTTTTATTATATTAATAAATAAATGGACATGAAATACTGTTTTTAAAGGGATAGTTCACCCAAAAATGAAAAGTCTGTCATTAATTACTCACCCTCATGTCGTTTCAAACCCGTAAGACCTTCGTTCATCTTCGGAACACAATATATTTTTGATGGAATCTGAGAGCTGTCTGACCCTGCATAGACCGCAATACAACTGAAATGTTCCCATGTCCAGAAACATAGCAAGGAGATCTGTAAAATAATCCATGTGACATCAGTGGTTCATCCGCAATTATATGAAGCTATGAGAAT